CTAGTATTAAACAATAATAACCAATTTGAATATTACAATATTAATCTTTTAAAAAAGTAAATTAAATCACTTTTGTGTAAAAATTTCTTCAAACAAAAGTAAATAACCAACAGAGCTTTATAAATTGTTTTTTGGAGATTTTTAAAAGTATTTTTTAGTTTTTAATATTCTTGATATCAATATAATCATTCTGTATTTTTAAAATATTTTTTTGGTTTGGATGCTAAATATAATAAAAAGTTCACTAAACAAAGTTTAACTTTTATAAAACTAGTTTAAAGTAATATACTTCTTGATTTTACACTTTGGTATTTGGTCAACAACACACTTGCTTCTGCAGAACCAAAAATATTATTTATTTTAAATGTTTTTTATAGTATTTTCTGTAGTTTAGTTTTTTGAAGTGTTGGTCAAAAGATTATCAGGAAGAGTATAATTATAAAAAATTTGAAAAAATAAATTAGCTATATGCTAAAGTTAAAATTTTCTATATATTTATTTATATATAATATTTTTTTGGATATTTCTATTTGTACACAGGGTGTTTAAACACTTGTTACACAAAACAAGTAGAAAACCAATCAAAATATGCAGTATACAGATCATTTTTTGTACATCAAAAATAAAAAAAAATAAAAAATTAATAATATCTTAAAATTTTAATTATGAAACCATCTTTTGGGCTCTAAGAAAAAAATTTTCTTGTGAAATTTTACTATAAACTATGCCTTTTACTAACTTTAACATCTAATCTTAACTCTAATATTAATTAAAATTATTATTGTTTACTTGTATTTTTAAAAAATTAATTGTAGATCATACCCTGTTTCAAACACCCCGTGTATATTTAGTAATTCCCTATTTTTTTACTAAGATAGTCTACTTTGAAAAATATTTTTATTATATTATAAAAAATAAGATTAAAGTTAAAAAAAAATTGTTTTTATAATTTTTTTTAACTTTAAATCTATTTTTTACTTAGTAAAAAGTTAAAAAATGGTTTAACCAAATAAACAACTTTGTTTAAAATTATTTAAAAATTTTAACTTTAGTATATAGCTAACCTATTTTTTAATATTTAAAAATGATAAACATTTTATTTTTGATAAAATTACATTTTTAAATTGTGCAAAATTGAAAAATTTTGATGATAATTTGGTTTTTAAATCAAAATTTTTTCTTTATTTATTCAAAATTTAATATTAAGTTATTATGTAGGCTAAAAGCATCACTATAAAGTTTATAGTAATTTGATGTTTTTATTATAATTTTATAATATATAAAAAATTTACATATAATATTGTGTAACAAATTGGATAACTGATATATATATATATGTTGTTTTTTATTTATTTATGCATTAGCATTCCTTGAATCTATTTTTATCTATACCAATAAGTTTTAAAAGTTCTGGTTGTAAAATTGGTTTCTCAACACCATGCCAATTGAGTCCATTTATTTCTCTTATTTTACTTCGAACTTCATCCACATGTGCCTTATAATAGCTATTGTGATAAAAAAAATAAATATTTAATACCGTACCTTAAAAACATAAGCAATAAGTGACGGTTGCACTCACATGTAGTCTGGAAACCAATGCCTCCATCTACGTTGTTGGGGAAACAGAGAGAACAGTTCAAGTTCTGCCAAGATCTATACATTATAAAAATAATTAATATTTCTGATATCATATAAAATAAGAAACCAAAGAACTAAAATAAATAAATATGGTTAAACACCTCTGCTTTTTGAATCAAGAATGATGCTTTATTATCATTTTCTTGTATCGCGTTATTCAGTAACCCAATGAACAGATTAAGT